TTTTCCTTGCCCCCGTCGCCAAGTTGCTTGTCATGGTGTACTGGTTGCGGTCTCGTCAATGTTTAAGGGTGTTCGGTCTGACCTGCTCTATTTGAAAAGTGTCCTGAGATAACTTCTGTTATGAATTGGCCTATACAAATTAGAATTGAATTGAATTGAATTGTTCTGGAAATGATTTTAAAAAAGCACATTTAATGTCTCAATTCCATATTTAAACATAAAATTTCAGAAAACTTACTATAATGAATGTAAGTAATCAACTGGGGAAGTTTCACAGTGATATGTAGTTAATGTTTTTTTACCCAATTCACCTGTAGTGTCCACGCTTAAATACTGAAAGAAACAGTTTTGGTAGAGTACTGAGGCTCCCTCACATATCCTTCTGCATTACACATACAGTAGATATAAAATAAAAATAAAAGGTGATGAAAAATTCTAGAGACATTTTTCTGGTTCTGTAATTTATTCTGCACAGGTAGAAACAAAACAAAGAAGTGAAATCAAATATCGTCTAGCATCGATGTTTACTCTTTAAGAATCAGTTTAGTAAGCGTAGCTCCATCCAACATCAGGCTCTGCCTGCTTGGAAGGTTTCAGCCTATGAGGATATGTCTGTCAGAGGCTGCTGGCCTGAATCTGATCCTCCTCCACAATATCTACAGAGGATTCATCTGCACATCCTCAGGCTGTGCTCATAGTCTCACAGAGACCAAACCAAAACCTTTTTTATACTTTTAAATTTTCACTCTTCCCTTTTTGGTCATAAAAAACACCTTGTATTTCCATTTTTGTTTTAAAACAAAACTCAAATAACCATTGTTTTGTTTTTAATCAAATTTAAATTTAATTTAATCAAATGACCAAAAGATACACTGACCAACCATACACAGGCTGCTTAAAGATCAATCAAGGGAGCTTCAGCCTGGATTCCTTCTTTTTTACTCCACAGTTTTTACATAGGTTGATCCCCTTCATTTTATGTCTTTACCAGAGATGGCCACCTGCTATGTATGTTTTGGTTACTGGATTTTCCTTTCAGAAATGGGTATTAATAAACAAAAAACAAGTGGCTATTTGATTTTCGTTTTAAATTACAAAAATTAAAATTGAAATAAAAGGTGTTTCTTCCTTTATCATGGCCATAATGGTTGGATTTACATTGTTTCTTTTACCTATAACAAAAATAAAATCACTTGAAAAGCTAAAATGTCTTTGGTACCCTATGATATAATTTTTGACAAAACAAGGCCTGACATCTACAGAAATCTCAATTAAGTGAGCCATAATTTCTGACACCCAGTCAAACTAGCCACAGCTATTGCTGTACCAGTGCTTGGAACTCCCAAAAAGGAAAGAGTTGCATAACAGCAATGGGTGACTGTGGCTCAGAGGTAAGGCGGGTTTTCCACTAATCGGAAGGTTGTTGGTTCAATCCCCGGCTCCTCCCGCTGCATGTCAAAGCAAGATACTGAACCCCAAATTGCTCCTACGAATGTGAATTAATTATGTTTCTGTTCGATGGACTTTGCTATCACTGTGTGAAAGAGTGAAGTGAATGTATTGTAAAAGCACTTTGAGTGGTCAGAAGACTACAAAGGTGTATACACTATACAAGTACAGGTCCATTTACCAATAATTTCTCCCCTTATATTACCCATCATGATTCAGTCTTGATTGTGATGTCACCAAGTAAGTCCTAATTTGATAAAACTGTGTCCATAATATAAGAAATGTATTTTACTGTTCTGATAATATTATGAATGGTATAATGTAATTAGAGCTGACTTTTGACAGCTCCCTTGAGTGAGATTTTTGCGGATGACAGGCCTTGGTTTGTCATGTCTATAGTCATATTAGAGTGTTAAAAAGACATTTTAGCCTGAGCTAAAGCAACACTGGCACACTGGAAATCCTACATTTGACCACATCTGGTTTCAGAATGTGAAAAAACAGTTTATGTTTTCTAGTGATTTTCTTTTTGTTATTTGAAATACAAAATGAAAATAAAACCAACCTTTAAAATTACACTGCAGCCTGTTGCACCAGCTACGTGTTAGGTAGTTTGTGTGTGGTAGTCCTACTGTAAAAATGTTATTTGCGTAAATGTTATTTACAATGGAAAGTTAAGATAAACTCACACCTTACCTGAACAGGTATAAGTCATTCATTATGAATAAATGATTGAAAGGTTAAAAAGATGGGGAATTGTGCTATACAGGTACAATTGAGTCTGTCCATTACACAGCAGTTGTAGAAAAAATGTGTTTAAATAGTTATTTAGCTAGCCTTTTGAGTCAATATGTTTGAGACTACCCCTATGTTCACTTTCAGGGGTCCCCCTATTGTCTGTGGTTGGATAAATGTCTGTTTTTTTCTGTTTACTTGCTAGCCTGCTAGTATGCTTACATGTTCCTGTGTCATTTAATTTGCGTGGGGCCGGAGTATTTTGTCATTCACCTCTTTTGTCAGAATAAACAGAGATCAACTCCAAAGATATCCTGTCTGGACCTCTCAATCAAAACATAATACACACAACAGTAGACACCACCAGTTACACCAGAGATCTCAAACTACTAGCCGGTGGTCCATTTTTAGCTCTCCCGCCAATTAAAAAACGTGATATAATCTGGCCCACAAGATTATTAATTTATTTTTTGTAATTGTTTCATCTCAATTTAAACTGTCTCTTCATATACAATTGCAACAAAATAAATTAAATTACTTAGTTTGATGATTAAAATAACAGCAAAGGTTAATGTTGTATCGTTTTTATAATTTACTAGTTCATACATGATAGCCTACATTACTTTCTCTTTGTAAATAAAACAGTGTAGTATGGTGTCTTACTTTCCACCACTTGTGTCTGAATACTTGCAGTTCATTTATTTATTTTTTTATTTTTTATTTATTTAGTCAAAATCCTAATAGAATTAATTCAGGACACTTTTCATATAGAGCAAGTAGCAATGGTACAACTGAACAGAATGACGGAATTTCATGCAAAACTAATAACGCAGCAGTTAGAGCTGGAATTTATGATCAAACTTCAGTTGGGGATCTGCTGGTGCAACAGGCTGCAGGTCTTGAAATGTGGACTTTAGGCTGCCATTAGGGCCTGTTCGAGAGCACTGAACATACTCTTAGTCCTACACTCAACTTACAGCAACTCATATCTGTGCTTATTAATATTGCAGTCAATATTCAGCATACAGATATAAAAGGAAATATATATTTTTACAGAGTTCATAAGGCCATCATAAATCATAAATATCCTCTCTTGCATCATTCATATGTGTTGTTTAGATCAAACATTATTTTTGTTACTTAAGTCTGACACTGAAAACATAAATTAAATGCAGTTGGTTTTCAAAGAACAAATACATAACACATCTCTGATAAAAGAAAGGACGATTGTTCTCATAACCGTTACCTCCTGTTTCCAGTCTTCATGCTAAGCTAGACTACTCACATCCTGACTCTAGCCCAGGACAGACATGAAATTGTACTTATAGAAAGCTTATAGAAAGTCAGTACAGTTTACTATAGCATCTTTAATATCTTACCCTCACGATAACATGAGAGTCGAATCAACATCTCTCACAACAGAAACATGATAAGATTCATAAATGTGGGATTTATTTCTGTTGGATTGAATGTACTTTAATGCTTTTCCCTTGACCAGGGGTCCCCAATGTGGTGCACCTGGTAACCCATGAGTAGCCTATGAGGTGCCCACAGAGCATCTTCTTTATTCTGTAATTTTTGCAAAACACCTGCAAGGAAGTGTACAAATGGGTCCCATTTTGTCAAAACATTCAAACACATCACTGATATATTTTTATTAATTAAAACAGAATATTGGGACTAGACTTCATTACATGTTCTGAGTGGTTCTCTATTCTACCCTTCTGCATTTTGGGGTTCCTAATATGTATCCCAATCCTCAAGCCTGAGCCCTTTCCCAGTTCCATTTTTAGATTTTGACTGAGTTTATAGCAGTATATTTCTCATAAGATTCTTCAGTTTTAATACCACCACCAGAGAAAAAAAAAACACCCACAATTCCAAATGAAACTGGTTCAACCCTGTATGTGTAAATGATTAAAGCTCCCTTTAGGTAGCCCTCACTCTCAAAAAGGTTGAAGACAAGCCTTGACAAAGGCCTACAGTCCATGACAAGGTACAAGGAAAACTAATGGTCTGTTCTCACCAGAAAACCAATGGTCATTTGGTCAAACACTTAAAACAATCTTTATGTCTTCTTGTCTAGTAACCGTAGTGGTTGAGCGAATAATGACTGTTGAGAAACAACGGTGGAAGTATTGTGAGACTGTAATAGTGCCAGAGGAGGTTGTATTGAATATTTGGGAGTAGAAAGTGTCTTACTTTGACTACATCCCACCATGCTCCTTCCAATATTTCCTACTACCACTCAACTATGTTTTTTTTAACCATCATCATCACTTTTGTTCTCTAGTTTTAATGGTCTAGATGTAGTTGCCTAAACTTAACCAAACCTTAACCATAGAGGTGGTAGATGAGTATAATGATTTTTTGTAACGGTCACATTTCTTTTGGAAGAACACGAATATACAATGTCATTGTGACAATAGGACTAGAAAATGCTGAAATTTGCTGAAGATATTCACAAACTAACCGTCCTCATTTGGTAGTAATATGACTTTCTGTTTGGTGCCACTGTTAGGCCAATTTTTTGGCTTCACACAGAGGAGATATCTTTGGCTGACTGTCACAAAAAAAGTATGAATCCTTTAAATTTTGGACACAACAAAAAAAAAGATTTTGCTCCATAACTGGTTAGTCTATAAAAATAGCAGTATGTAGTTCCATCTTAACACTTCCATAGTATGGTCTATAATGGACACTGGGGTCACTAGCTTTAGTTTTTATAATTATAGAAAAGGAGCATTAGACTGAACAGCTGCTTTCATATCTCAGAGTATAAACATCTTCCTGTGACTATTAGTTACAGTTACCACTCATGGCACACTTGTTTTGTTATTAGCTTCTGTATGTGTTAACAGAGCACCTGTGGAGGCCTTTTGGTTCTTGACATTTGAGAATCTGTGTCTTATGATCTGTCTGTGATGGGCTTCCCTTGCCCAGGCCATTCCCATCATAGCGGCTCTGCCTGAGCGCTGATGCTGTGGCGCAGCTATTCTACCTTCTTGTCTGTGCTTATCAGCTAGCTCAGGGAACTGCTTGCTGTACAGATGGTCTGTGTACTGCAGTTCTGGAGTTATAAATCGCTGACATTTGGTTTTGGTTTGTCTGTCTATGTGTGTGTTTAGGTTATAGCCCTGAATGACAGCTGCTCCATACTGGAATGGCTTCAACCCAGCATCTTTAATCTGGGACGGATCTACTGCCCCACCATCTTTCAGGCATGTATTTGCTAGTTTGGCCTGTAGCTCTCTCAACTGAGATATTTCCCTCTTCATCTGTTCTTGCCCAACCAGACTATCCACTTTGTGCCAGAAGGTGGTGTTGAAGTGCAGGTAGATCCTCCAGTCTAAAGCATTCCACCTCTTGATTTTCTCTGCAGTGTGTGGTAAAAGCGTACGACGAGTTCGTTCATTGCGACTGTTGAGCTTAAAGGAGACCACGTCTTCCAGGGACCAGCAGAGGGCATTCTTGAGCAGAATCATGGACTCATCAAAGTATTCAGAAATAAGAATGAGGTGGAAGTCCCGTTCGATAGCTGCAATAGTCATGCTGGCTCTTTCCTCCAGGTCTTCAGCATCAGCTGCAACATTGTTGTCAAAGCCAAAGTCAAAAGCCATTATATTGTGGGCGTAGTGGTTGTTGGCCAATGATGAGTTGTAGTTTCTCCTGCTTGTGTCTAGGAACTCATCCAGGCTGTGAGTCTTATGGAAGGCAGGGATACTCTTGTAGTAAATAAAGATGGACTCCATCATGGCCACAGGATGCCTCAGGATGGAAAAGTAGAAGGTATCCTGCGGCATCACTTTTGCCACCTGGGACAACATAGGAAGAAATTTATTTTAGAGATGGCTTTTGAGAAAATTCAACTTACACACAAAAATGAAATATATTTTCATGAATGAAATACATTTTTGTTGTTGTTGTTTGTTTTACCTTAAGAAGTAACAGAAATTAAATATAAAGAAACTGGTAAATCATCTTTTGACAAAGTCTAGTGCAAACATGTCCATTGGGAGTGTGAGTATTAAGGGTTCTAGTATTTAAGATCCATTTGGGCAACTAAGTGGGGCCCATGAAGTTTGTCGAACCCCGTCATTTCGATTTCATATTGATACCATACTATATGTGGGGACCACAACATAAGTGGGTAACTACACCCTATAGCACTGGCTTCCAATCTGGTAGTTCTGGCCTCCACTAGGGGATGCCAAAACTTCATGGGGCTTCCTTGATTTTGAGGAGTGTGAGAAGACTTACAACTTAAACAATATACAGTAGGCCCTCATTCCTTTCTGTGATGACAACTAAATTAAGTCTGTATTTTTTTAAAGTTTGGATGGCTTTTTGCAATATAAACTAAGAGGAAATCTCACAGGATACGGGCACATTACAAACCTGAACATAAGCTATGTTCACAGAGCCTCACCCTGCATTAGAAAAGTTCAAACAACCAAAGAGCTAATAGAACAATGAGAAGAAAACACAGAACTTTTAAAAAAAGAAGCCTATTAAGTATGTATGAAAACAAAACATAATACAGACAGAACTGTATTAAAAGTTCCTAAAAATATCAGGAAAACTTATCTCTGATCAAAATTCACAGCAAATAATCTGCTTAAAATTAATTTAAATCACTAATTTTACACAAACTTCCTGGAGTTATTGTTTTCACTATTTGGGTTCATTGTACAGTTGTTCTGTACTGTCATTGTTATGTGTTGAATACAATATGAAAGTCATAAAATATGTAATTTAGTCAGGGGTTGTTGTTTACTTAATGATAGAAAAGGGATCCCTTAAGGTAAAAGGTTTGGAACCACTGCTATACAGCACACCCCACCACCATTAGCAACCCAAATGTACAGGCCCACACAGAGCTTTTTGGAATTCAATAAGGTTGCCTAAAGGAGGCCCAAATACCACCCATCATTAACCAAAGGGGGTTCCACATAGACATGTTTCCGGGACTCGGTCTTTGATTTGGCTAATCAGGTATTTTAGTTTAAATACCATTATGAAATATAAGTCAATATCAAACAATAGCACTATGTTGCTCACCTCTGATTTTCTAAACCGCATGTGGTTGCACATAATGTGGAACTCCCTCACACTTCTGCTGCTGACACCTTCCACAAAATGTGAAGCAAAGAAGAATGGGTAAAACAACTGACTATGTTTGTTCAGAGGGAGGGCAAAGGTCAAGTTCCTGCTTTCACCATAGCGATACAAGATGTTTAAAATAGTGCTGCTTGCAGTTTTGTGTGTCTTGAGGAAAACAATGTGAGACTTCGGGTGGCAGGTTGCTTTAGTACGGAAAGTGTTGGTACGAGTCTTTAAAAAACTGGATGAAGTGGGAGTGTCTGTGCCTGCAGTTAAACTTTTCCTAGGACTGGGGAGGACCAAAGAACCTTGCAGTCCATGGTTCTGTTTGTTTTCATATTTTGGTAGAAACGGATTTCCAGGTGAAACTTTTGTTGCCTCCATCTGAGAGTCTGTAACGAGGTTGACGTTTTTTTCCACATGTTCTAAAACAATATCATCTGATGGCTTTCCATATCCCTCATTCTGATAATGAAGATCTGCCATTCTTTCCATCTGTAGTGACTTTACATCCGGCTTTACTGGAGGTGCAGACTCAGAATGAAGGCCCTCCCAGACATTTTGCAGAGTAGAAAACAGGTGCTGTTTGCTGACAGTGAATCTCAGATGTGGGAGTCCTGTCAGTTTGTCATTCCTGGAGAAAGTCATAAACACAATCAGTATGATGTAATATAATTTAGAGCATTAGAGCAGCTTTTTTTGGTTACAGTATAAGCGATGATGATTTAAGAAACCTTTAGTTTAAAGGTTGATTGTTATATTACCATAATAACTGCATTTAAATGTCAAACTATTCCCAGCATTCACCCTAGTACTGACCCCATGGTTTGAAAACTCTGATGATACAATAGAAATTACATGGCATGATATTCATATTGAATTTGATCATTTTAATATAATTTCAGTCGACCAAACTCTGCTATAGATTATTACGCTAATTGTCAGATGGCTGTACTGTACACAACTTTCTATGTTGTAACCAGGAGTTGTTGTGGTTTGCACACTATGTGACTGATCAGCAGCAGGGGTCACACATTACAAGATCTTTCACAAGGAGTAATCCTGGAGTCTATCTGGTCTCCAAACTATGTCATTATGTCATTAATAACACCCTTAATAAAAAGCACATGATGTTTAATTAGGAAAGTAGTTTAAAAACATGCACATAAAGTGCAACCATTTCCAATTATAATTAGCTGATAATTAGCCTGATCAGCCAGTGTCAGTAATCAATACACACATTATTAACCATTTATCAAACTAATAACTAACCGCAATGTCAGACAAACTTATCATCATACTTTAGCAGTTAACAAGTGCTTCTGTAGTGGTGACAAAACATAAAATTATACATATTAGCAATTAATTCAACTAAGCTCCCTTTGCCAAGCTCCCTTTAGGAAATATCACATTTTAACAATTCCTAACAGTTTGTGTTGACAGTTTTCTTTTCAAATTGGCATCAATATAACCTATAGAGATAAAGTGTATACAATTTGTAGTGTGAGCTCGGGATAGTAGAAGGAAGACTTGTATGTGGATGCAGAGTAGCTGTAATGCCTAGCAGTGCTTTTAGGTGAGTGGTGTGGCAGACAGGCAGCATAACAGTGAGCAGAGCACTGACGGCGTAAGTACACCATAAGTACGGAATCATATCAAGTTTCATATCAAGTATTTTACTGTATGTGCTTTCTCGTCTCACAGATTCTCATGGATCGTGGTTTTGTCTGCTGTCATGGTCCTGCTTGACGCCCACTGCTAATATTATT